TGTGCCTCGCGCGCGCTCCCGCGCCCCGCCCCCCTGGCGCCGGTGCCCGGGCTCGGACTTCTTGTCCCTCCCGCTCCCTTACCTCCCACGACCTCCTCACCGAGCTTTTTCCTCCGGCCCGGAGGCCGCCGTTTGTGCCAGCCGCCCTGCGCCGCACAGCGCGCCATACCCCGCCCCCACCACCAGGGACGCTCCGCCCCCGCCTCGCCCGGGGGGCACGTGACCGCACCCGAGCGGAGGAGACCCTGAGTGCGCAGGCGCGAGCTACACGGGGCGGGGCGAAGTAGGTAGAACACCCCTCCGGAGAAGTAAGTGGGTCCGTCGTAGGAGCAAGGCTCATTTGCATTCTCCGCTCCGCCTCTTTTCCGCGGGAGAAGGAACCCAGCAAGATGGGCTGGATCAGAGGGGGCGTTTCTGTGTGTGTTAAATCCAGCGACTTGGGAGGGACATGCAAATTACATTATTTACATTAACAAGTCCCGTCTCCCCTTCTCCCCCACTGCACACCACGCACACACGCCCACCCCCTCATCCCCCATCCTGAAGCGAGAACGCTGCAGAATAACGAGTGGCAGGGTCTGGAACTGAATGCAAATTATTTCATTTACATGGACAGCTCCTTTTCCTCCTCATAGCCCAAGAATGGGGATGAGATGTTGAGAAATGGCTGCGCAGTTAGTTGGGAAACATGCAAATTAGCATGTCAGTTGAGCAATTTACATAATTACTTTTTATAACGGAGAAAAAAGAAAGTGCGGGACGTCCTTTAGAGAAGAAAAAGCAGCCTAGAAGGGGTGTGCAAATATGTCATATTTACATGACCGCTCCTCCCTTCCTCAGTACTGTTGTGGGAGTATGGATAAAGCAACCTGGGAAAGCTAAGCAGAGAAAAGATATTTGCATGGGCAGCCGCGTTTCTTTAGGAACTTTTTGGACCACCTGGCCCGGTAGGACTATACAGAAAAGATCATCTGAACGCCCCTCCTTGCTATCATCACTCAGGCAGTGCCCGCCCTCAGCGGGCTGCACCTGTCCCTGACAGCCCACCCGAGGGTGTCAGCAGTGCACCTGGGAAGAGGGATAGACACTGGTCTCAAGTATGTACTCGAGTTAGGGTTGCAAAAAGGCCCGCAGCCCTCAGGGCAGAGTTTATGGTCACACACAAGTACGTAAAAGGAGCCACATTTACAACACACACACACAGCCCTGAGGCACGATGCATAGCATATGCGTGCGTCCGGCAGGCACACACACATATACAGTAGTGCCTCAGACTTTCAGGCCTCAGACCTGCATTGGAAAAACTAGGCAACATATCTGAGGCTCCCCTATAAGCCCAAATTCCCAATGCTTGGCTTCAGTGTCCCAAACACCACAAATATGGGCACCAAGGACATGGAGTAGTCACATTTAAGTGTTTCACGCACATCTAGCAGCACACATGCTTACAAACACAGTCCCACACAGGCATTGGGACATGTTACATGTGAGCCTTGAGCATGTATTTTCACAAAGTGTCCACCTGGCAATAAACTCCCTCCCTCCCTCCACAACAGGCACCTGAGTCATGGTGCACCCTCAGTGTACCCCTACACCATGTCCAACCCAGAATCATGGCTCCCTAGCACCATGGTATGCAGTTCTTCCATCAGGGGCCTCTTCCATCTCCCCACCATTCCAAAATGATGGAGGCCAAGACACAGATGTAAACAATGCTTTATGGGGTAGGGTTGGACAGGACAGGCCTCCAGGTAATAAATAACGCATACTCGCAACAGCAGGGCCAGGCGGGGAGTTGGGGCCAAGTGGCCCTGGTCTCAGGCTTTGGGAGCTCTTGGGGTATGGTTAGGGGATTGGGGGGACAGAGGTTAGCCAAGACAGGAAGCAGCAGCAGGTATGGGTTCCCCCTTCCCCTGTGGCTCAGTCTTGCCCCAAAGCCAGGTCCCACCTGGCCAGGAAAGCAGACAGGCGTCGGGACAGTTTCTCCGGGGCCAGGGCAGGTTGAGGCACGGCCTCCTGGGGTCTGGGTCTGGGTCTGGGCCCCAGCCAGAAGGGTAGGGCTGGTCCTGGAGAACAGGTGAGCTGTTAAGAGAAGGGTGTGGTGACCTGGAAGGGCCCAGGGTCTGTCTGGCTGATGTTTCTGTCTCATTTCTGGGTATCACCCTGCCCTACAATCTGTTTCCATCTGTCCATATTCTTCTCTTTCTCCCACTTTCTACATTGTCTGACTTTTTGTTTCTCTTCTATAGGTAAGGCTCTCTCTCTCTCAGGGTACCTGTACCTCCTTGTGTGTTTGCCTCCGAGAGCTTGAGTCTGTAAAGGGACATCTCAGTGTCATGTCCCCATCTTCATCTCTGTTCTTTTGTGTTCCTGGACTGCCTAAGTTCTAAGTCTCTGTTCTCACTTTAGCTGCACATAGCATCACCTGGGCCCCTTTAAGAAATCCCAAATCACTTCAGCATCTCTAGGAGTGAGAGTCCTGCGCATCAGTATCTTTTATTTATTTTAAATCTTTTTCCATGATAGAGACAGAGAAACAGACAACCTTAACAGTCTATGCCACAATCCACTAGCTCAGCATGCTCAGGGAAGTCCCAGGACATGAACTTGGGACCTTTCCCATGTGGACCCACTTGCATTACTACTGCACTACCACCTAGTAGCTTTTAAAGCTCTCAGATGATTCCAAGGTACAGAACTACATTAGTGGGTAGGGAAATCAGTTTGGTGGGTGTTGACAGTTTTTTATTCCAATACAGTAGCAAAACAGGAAATACCAGAGTGCATCATATGTAATAAGAATACTGGTCCCGACCATGGTGTGGATGCCGCTACTTGGCAGGCTAAGGCCATAGGGGAGGCCTGCGTCAATCCCTACCTGATCTAAACAGGCCATGTGCAGTGGCACGTGCTGGTAGCCTAGCTAGACTATCTGAAGGTGAGACTCTATCAAAATATCTATCTCTAGGGCCAGAAGATGGTGTAGCGGTTACACCACTAGTCTCTCACATGGCCGACTGTGGTCGGAGTCCCACACCCGGTGGCTTGAAACTGACACCAGGCACATGCATGCATGTCCAAGACCCTGGAAGAATGAAGAAGGGACTGCAAAGTGGCCATCCCCCCTGTGGAGTGATTTCTCACTTTCCCTCTCATTGTCACCGTGTCTTTTATTTTTTTTTGTCTGGTGAGTGCACACACCCTAAGAAAAAAAAAGACCTCTGGGGGTGGGAGTCTGTCTCTCCCAGGGCCAGCAGGTGGGTGGCATGGTGGTTAAAGCACTAGATTCCCACATGAACAACCGCAGTTTGAGTTCCAAACCGGGAGACCTGAAAAACTCACACTGGGCATGTGTGTGTGTGTGTGTGTGTCCCCAAATTCCAGGAGCATGGAGAAGGGAACGTGGCATGGACATCCCCCCCGGGGGGTGATTTCTCACTTTCCCTCTTTGTCTTTCTCCAGTGAGTACATGAGCCCTATGGCAAAAACCTGAAGGAAAAAAAATGGATGTGGGGCTTCCTTTTAGGGTAATGAAAATGTTCTGAAACTAGACAGAGGTGGTGATTGCACAATCTTGTGAATGTACTGAATGCCACGGAATTGTACACTCTGAAATGGCTAGATTTACGTGATGTGGATTTTACCTCAATTTTAAAAAAGAAAGAATATTGGTGGTAGGAAAGTGTGTGTGAGTTTTAGATGTGGGTGTGACTACTAGGTTAACATACAAAACATTTCCTCTTTTAATTGCCAGAAGGTACATGCACTCTCCAGGGAGACAGAGAGGGAGAAAGCAGCACCCAACTGGGGCATGGTCACATTGCAGTTGGTTCTTCTCCATTTCCTCTTCCTGTCAGGACTCTGGACACACACACACACACACACACACACACACACACACACATCTCGCATGTTTTTCAAGCCACTGGGGCCGGGATTTAAACTGTGGTGAGCCATGTGAGATCTGGCTCCCTTAACCTCTAGGCTACAGAGCCAACCCAATATGTATTTTCTCCTAAAGACTATAGTCAACAAACTTTGAAAGGCATGGTCTTATCACATTTAATCCACTGAAGATACTCCTCCCCCCCAAAAAAAAACCTCTGTGCTAAGCCCTGAGGTGAAGAATAGGTATCCATCCATTTCTACACAGCCTGGAGTCTTCAAGATGGATAAGAAGGCTGGCTCCCTGGCACAACAGTAATGTGCTGCTGAAGGGAAACCAGATCCCACATGGTGACCGCAGTCCAAATCCCCAGCCCAGTCAGCCAGGGACATCCTAGGGATGTGCGCAAGTGTCCAAGATCCAACAGGCTGGAGGACTGGAGGAAGGGGACTGAGGCCTGACCAGACCCCTCTCTCTTTCGCCCTCTCTCAAGTAAGTGTGCATGTGCTCTATGATGAGTAACGAAATTTTTTTAAATATAGGATGAGGCCGACAGGCGGCGTGGTGATTAAGGCCCACATGGCCAACAGAGGTCCCAGTCCCAGACCTGGTGGCTTGAAAAATCACATGGGAGAAGGTGTGTGCAGGCCCAAAATCTCGAGTGGAGAACGGAGAAGGGACTGCAGGGTGGCCATTCCCCGGGGGGGTGATTTCTCACTTTCCCTCACTGTCTCTCTCTCCCCAGCAAGAGTACACGCCCTATGGCAAAAACCTAAAAAAAAAAGATAGCCAGCAGTGGCATGGTGGTTAAGGCTCTAGATCCCACATGGCCCACTGCACAGTTCAAGT